ATATATATATATATATATATATATATATTAGGTCATTATTCTTAAAACATTTGTTTCTTTTTTTATTTTGTTATTTGTTTTGAAACAAATTTTACACGAACCATTACATTTTATATAGGATACATATATTTCTAAATATTTATTGATGTTAATGTAATTAACGTACACATGGGGGTTAATTACGTGTGAAAAATGGTCATTTTTACTACTCAATTAAAATTGCAAGATTTATTGCTGAATGTAAACCCTTTTTTACTATGGAAAGATAAAAAGTGAAAGAACAGAAAATATGAAATTTTATTCTTCCTTAGAATTTTATTCGCGACATTAAAGAATAAACGGATATATGATATCGTTTTCCAGACAGGACAAAGCTATAGTTACTTTCTTTTCTTTTTTTATCTTTTTTTTTTTTTTTTTCCTATGAAAAGTAGTTTCGATTGAGATTCAGGATAGAATTACGATTCCGAGTAAAATCAGAAACGACTAACCCCCGGTAGCAATGTATTTCCCACTCGTAACTACCAAACTCCAATGCATTTCGATATTTGAAAGAGCTTCGAGTACTATCGATATTTATCGGTAAAAGGCTAAAAATATATGCTGTTGACTCTCTCCAAATGCGAAATAATGTAATGTAAATAATATATACATATATATATATATGTTAAGTGTACTGTAATATTCATGTCTATCGATAAATAATTTTAAACTAATAATATATAGAGATGTACATAATTTCCTACAAAATCTTACCATTTTTCAAACTTTATTTACATTATGTTATATCGGTTGGATAGTGACAAAAAAAAAATAAAACTCTGATAGAAAAGAAGAAAATAAAAATAAAACAAATAAATATTGTCTATGTTTGTCGTAACCTCTACGAAGCATTTCCATGTTACGTGTCCAAAGACGTATCATTTATTATAACGACAAGTAAATATACATGTTGGTAAACTCGTAGAAAATACGTCGGGGGAATATAGGAAGATGGTCTATCAATGACATTGAAAATATAGAAACGAGTCGTGTCATCTTGAAATACACCAGATCATATTCTCGATACACGTAATCGTAAATATTTTGTTCCACTAATATATATATATATATATATATATATATATATATATATACATATAACACGCATCAGAATCTTTCAAATATTAGATAAAGACGAGAAGAACAAAATAAAATAAATAACGCGATCAACAAAAGTCCACATTTTTGTAATATTATTTTCATGTATATCCTTAGTTATTTTTCGATAAATTCAACAAATGGATTCGACAATAGGTAAGAAGAAGAAGAAGAAGAAGAAGAAAACAAATGTTTCTTTCGATTTTTTTTTTCTCAGGTAAATGCAAGAGAATCGGAGAAATTGCGTTGCCCGTGGGCATAGACGCGCGTGAAAAGGGCCACCGAGGGTCCGGGACGCGCTGGGTTTTCGAGATGAGCTATGAATCTGGGCTATCTGGTAGCCTCCGCTTTCGTCCTTCAGCTGCTTCAGCTGCCGTTTGTCGTCGAAACTTTACCCTCAGTCGTGAAAATCGGTGAGTACTTCAAATGGATATATATATTTTTAGTTGTTTTACATATTCCCGATCGAAATCCGATAGATCAAAAGTCACCAGTTCAGGTGAAACGAATTCAAACGGTAACAACGGTGCATGATTTATATTTATGGATTGGGACAAATTAAATACAAAAAAAAAAAAATAGAAATGAGAACGAGAAGCAGCAGCATCACTCGTGTAACCTATTTGAATTTTTAAATTTAATACGGACAGATTGGTGCTATTTAATTTTTGTCTCACTCCAGACTTTCCACTAGAAATTCAACGTGGGTTTGTTAATTAATGAGACTGTTCTCGCTGTTGTTGTCTTGCCGTAACTAAAGTCACAGACCGAATACGGATGAGTAGCATAAATTATCGTAGGATGGTATATAAACCCATGAATCCAGAGAAAATCCACCAGAGTTGGCAATTCGTCGGTATTATCCACGATTATGAAACGTTCTTGTTAAACTCATTATTGGTAACTATTAGTTTTCATTTAACTGATTATTCTCTCATCGTGAAATTTTGATAAATAATCGAGCTTGATTAAGGATTCGATGATTATTTAAATTTAAATAGAATATTAATATTTAAAAAAAAAATTAAAAAAAAAAAAAAGAAGAAAA